CCCCAAAACCCCAAAACCCCAAAACCCCAAAACCCCAAAACCCCGAAGAGAGCTATTGGCTTGAACCTGTCAAGAATTAAAATATTTTATTTAAGATGGACGAAAGTAAATATTTTAGTTGCTATTCCTACTGCCAAGCAGTAGTAGCAGGCATCATTACTAACACTGACTTCTTCAGGAGCAATCTTTATTGTTTAGATTAATGACAGTGTCGAGAAAGAAGAAAATTAAAAGTTTCTAAGCTCTTTTCCCACATTTTAATGTTCAGAAATAATTTAATAATAGTTGATAAAAATCCTGTGAGCGTTGACAGTTCAGGCAGTAAGAATTTTGGAAATGGAAATAATGCAGATAGAGAGATCATGAATGGTAAGAATCCTGAAAACACTAAGTTTTGACATGCGCCTCAGTTAGTTAGATATCAAGTGTTTTAGCTTGAAATTTATTCAAATAGGTCATCATGGACGCACAGAAAGTGAGGATCAAAAGGAATGAAGCACAGGGTTCATTCATAATAAGAATTTTAAAGCAGCAGAGTCTTTATCAAACACGATTTTGGCAAAATAAATTAGATAAAGAGAGACCTCAATATTATGGAGGTATGCGGTATTATTTTTTATTACCGACTTTCAGATATTTTAACTGTTGAAATCTCCAACTAATGCATAATGTTTAGGAGATGAGTCTTATGAGTCTCAAGACAATCATTTTGATATAGATAACCTTCCTGAACACCCCAAGAGGTATGTATTTTCCTGAGGATTAAAAATTTGACATATTTTATCGACAAGTTCATACATTTTCATGCCAGTTTTCTTATTTATTTAGAATTTTTCTGGATATCCAGTAGAAATTTAGTTTTTAGGGGTCATTGAGCACACCAGAACTGAAATACTCCAGAGAATGAGGGAGGAGAATCAATGAATTATTATATCTCAATGACTGAAGAAGAACTGGAGAGTCACGGAATAACTGGCTGCAGGAAGAAATTAGCAGTATTTTTGCAAGATTTGGGGGTTGGCTATATCTCCTCCTCTATTATCATTCTTTACGCTCTATATATTCTTGTGTGGCTAGCAATAGAATCTGAGTTTTATGAGAGCAACACAACTGTTGTAGTTCTAGAAATTATTGAGTTAGTTACCTTATGAATATTTTCATTAGAGATATTTAGCTTTTTACTCTCATTTGGCCTAAAATTGTATTTTAAAGATCTTTTGAACCTATGAGAAATAATGGTAGTTATTGCACTAATCACCGCAATCGTTCTCGACCTCGTTGATAGGGATGACTTCAGAGTAAAGGGTCTCTTTAGATGATTGAGAGTTACATTGGTATTCCTCAGACTTCGAATAATGATAGTATTTTATTTTGGTAGAAGAAAAACTAATTCAAAGATCGGAGCTATTTCAAACGTTGATAAAATAAAAGACATTCTGAAAAGTCTCAAAAGAAGAGTTGAGAACCCTGAGCATAAATCAGAGATAACTTTCTGCTTAAGAATGCTTACCTCAGAAGAACCCCAAAGTCCTAGTGATAACAATATTCCTAACGAAAATATGAAGAAAGTTGAAAACAAACAGGATTCTCTATCATGGGCAAGGAATAACTCTTTAAAAATGAATAGCGCAAGAGGTTTACTGGAGAAAAGGAGAAATTTCAAAGATAGGCTTTCCAATTCTAAAATTATGAAGGAAATTGGAATCAATTCTAAAGTTAAAGACATCTTAAGAGATGTCGATCAACTTTCCTTTGATATTTTTGCATTAAGCCGAGAAACTAGTGGTAATGAAATGGTGGTTTGATCAACTTATATCATGGAAAAACACAACCTTTTTGAGGAGTGAATGATCGATCCCAAAACATTTTGAAGATTCATCTCGAGCATCCAGTCAGGATATCATGATATTGCCTATCATAACAAGATTCATGGAATGGATGTTGGAAGACTCGCATATTATTACTGAACTAATTGAGACTTGATGTCCAAAGCTCAACTTGAAGTATCTGATTTAGCAGCTTTGGTAATTGGTGGATCTATTCATGATTTTGAACATCTGGGATGGAATAATGCTTACTTGATTGAAACACAGCATGATTGGGCAGTTACTTACAATGATATATCTGTTTGAGAGAATCATCACGTAGCTGCAGCTTACGACCTTATTCAAAATAAGCCAGGGTGAAATATTTTTGAGAACATGAACCTCGAAGATTTTAAGAACTGGAGGAAGATGATTACCAAGATGATAATAGCAACAGATATGGCCTTACACTTCGATTATGTAAAGAATTTTAAGAATCTTTTCAATGAAGAGCAAATAGACCTTAGTAAGAGAGACAACAAAATATTTATCAGTAGCATGTGATTACATGTCTCAGATCTCACCAATCCCACCAAACTATGGGATGAGTCTTATAAATGGACTCTCCTAGTTTATGAAGAGTTCTTCGTACAAGGGGATCATGAAAAAGAATTAGGACTTCCCGTTGGAGATCTTAATGATCGCAAATGAATCAATTTAGCAAAATCACAATGCGGGTTTATAGATTTTATAGTGCAGCCAACATTTGAAACTTTCACTCTTTTACTACCTAAAGCCCAATCCCATGTTGATCAAGTAAAGGCAAATAGGGAGAAATGGAACTCTATGATAAAAGAATGAGATAAGTTAAGAGAAAATGGCAATTTCCTGATGAAAGAATTTATGAAAACAGAGCAAGAAGAAGTAGATGATGATTCTTATAAGAAAGATATGGAAGATAATAAGAGAACAGCCGATGTGCCAGACAAATATTAAAATAAATATTATAAACTTTATATATTATGAGTTTTCTGTAAATCAGAACTTTGTTGGGGTTTTGGGGTTTTGGGGTTTTGGGGTTTTGGGG